GGTCTCTAAGGAGGCTGTGCAGGGTCTCAGGTGGGCTGTGCGGTCTCTAAGGAGGCTGTGCAGGGTCTCAGGTGGGCTGTGCGGTCTCTAAGGAGGCTGTGCAGGGTCTCAGGTGGGCTGTGCGGTCTCTAAGGAGGCTGTGCAGGGTCTCAGGTGGGCTGTGCGGTCTCTAAGGAGGCTGTGCAGGGTCTCAGGTGGGCTGTGCGGGCTTTCACATAGGCTGTATGGGTTCACTCACTAAATGTAGAGAGGGCAACTTACCGCCCGGCGCCCGAAACTTCCCCACAAGGACACCGCTGCCGCCTCCTCTGCGCCCCTCCGCCCTGAGGCCGGGCCTCGGTGGCCTTGTGGGAAATCCAGGCCTGCCTGAGATTGTAAGCTCATTGAGGACAGGGACTGATGTAAATGTGCACTATGTAAAGCGCTGTGTAAAGTTTTGGCACTGTGTAAATACCTCTTATAATAATAACAACATCCACAGTCCTATTTTTCCCTTTACTCCATTTTCTTGCTTCCGATTGGCACAATCATCTCTTCTGGACAGCGGACATTGACTTCTAAATCCACTTCGGGCAGCTACATCCTTTGTTCTTTCATCGGCGGTGAGGAGTTGTCTGTAGTGACTGTGGACCTTTTAAAGTCCATCATACCTGCCTGTAGAAAGTGTAAAGGACAGTCACTAAGGGCAGGTAACTATTGGTTCAATGGGCAGGTTGGATAAAGAAAATCTACACCTGGGTATCTATGGGCAGCACCAGGGCCGGCGCTAGGATTTTTGCCAACTCAGGCGAAGGTGCATTTTGCCGCCCCCCTCTGCCTGGCCCGACATGTAAGTTGAGACTGAGAGACACTGCACAGGTCAGCGCCGCTGCGGCCGGCGGCGACTCGTCCTTCAGATGCCGCCCGCAGCGGCAGCCCAAACTGAGCTCGATTGGACGGCTGGAGCCGGACTTATGCCGGCGCCCGGCGACTGTCAATTTTCCGCCCTGTTCCCTGGCGCCGTAAGGCAAGTGCCCATGTTGCCTTGCGCTAGCGCCGGCCCTGGGCAGCACAGACACATTGTAATCAATGATGACCTCATGTCTTGTTTTTACTTACTTCTCTAGCGGCTTTCTGGAGGCTACCCGCGGTGGATATATCTGGTTTCTGCCTCCTGTGAGGACAAATTCTATAGAACAATCTGCAGTAACCTTCTCTGACCTGAAATACAAGTGAAATGAGATGATAATAAGGAGGAGATCATGAAGACATCTACAAGGCACCAACCAGTGTTATGTTATATATACAGTATATGATTAACAGGCAATATACACTGAGTGGCCAGATTATTATATACACTGAGTGGCCAGATTATTATATACACTGAGTGGCCAGATTATTATATACACTGAGTGGCCGGATTATTATATACACCGAGTGGCCAGATTATTATATACACTGAGTGGGCAGATTATTATGACCACCTGACGTTTGTAGGCAAATTAGCTATAATTTGGCGCTGAAGTTGCTAGAGGGCCAGACCATTATAAATAGGGAAGCGGGTTGGTTACCACGACAGTAGAAGTGATTTGTTTCTGAAGATACGGGGAAACAACGCGATGTAACAGCCTTTGAACGCGTGATGATTGTTGGCGCTCGGAGCCATGGAGCGAGTATCAGCAAAACAGCAGAATTCATTAAATGTTCAAGAGGGGCTCATTGTTAAAGTGTTTAAAGACCGGACTGTCAGCCAAAAATCTGGGTGTGAACGTGCGAATTGTGGCCGTCAGCGACTAGTCAATGTTAGGGCAGAACGGGGGAGGGGCAAGACTGGTACAAGACAACAGAAGGGCAACAGTGCCGTGTCAGATTCCTCGCATCACCTTTCATCATCTCGTGGAGTCACGAGGCGGCCCAACCAAGTACTGAAGGGGTGGTCATAATAATCTGGCCACTCAGTGTATATCACCGAAACCTTCTGTGCCCAAAGCAACTCCCCTCTGTCTCTAGTACACAGAGCAATGTATTTGGTTTTAATGTTCCCAACCTGGTTTTAAATATTGAGATACATGAGATGATTGTGTAATGATGATGGGGAAAAATGTGTGGCTGATAGACTATTGACTATAGAGGAAAAGGTTCTGGTGACTATAGATACGAGGGAGAACCAAACAGTAAAGGCAATTTATAAATACACAGTAACTGGAGGAGGGAGAAGCTTGCGCAATGCAGTATATTTACATAAATGTTGGGTGGTTTGACCATGCGCTGTACAGTGCTCAGACTTGAGTCAAGTGGTAGTCACGGGGACAGACACATGGATGCTCCATTGCAAGATTGCACCATCGAAGAACAATGTGCCGCAGTCTGCTTTCTTTTGGCAGAGGGAGTGAAAGCAGTGGAAATTCACTCAGGTGTTGGCTCAGTATGGTCATAGCACAAGGAAAGGTTTATGAGTGGGTAGAAAGGTTTAATGAAGGAAGAACAGATGTAACCGATGAAGCTGGTCGACCTCATTTTTTGGGTACTTAAACGTTGCTGAATCTAGACCTATTAACCAATAAAAAGTTCTGACCTATGCACTTGTGGTGGTGGTGAGGTGGTGACTTTTTTTTGGACAGGCAGTGTATTTTGAAAGTAAAACCCAGGAATTAAGACTAGGAGGTGATTTATAACTCTTCCACCTAGCATATAGCAGGGCATAGGTTGTTTGCAGAACTACTGCTGCTAGAAGGCTCCGAGGAACATAGGCCTATGCTCCTCAGTGTGTTCTAGCGGCGGCAGTGCACTGCAAATGGCATTCACCCAGCTGTATGCTGGGTGGAAGATTTATATAAATCAGTTCCTTAGTGTTTGCACTGACCACACTCTCATTTCCTTGGTTTGTACTGAGCACAGCGGGGCTTATAACTAGGGTTGCCACCCTGCGCGGCCCAGAAAGCGCTTGTCGTTTGAATGACAACTATCAATAAAATGAATTTGCAGTAACATGGGATCTTGGTGCCGGTGTGCTGGAGACATCTGTATTGTTGTTCTGTTGTGAGCAGCGCCATCCGCAGTCATTACCGGCACCCGTTACTTTTGGTATATCTGGTAAGAAGTGCGGCAAGGTATATGGGCACTGCTTTGTACACTTATCTACAGAATGCATATCTGGGGACCTGCGGCACACTGGCAAGTTTTGATTAACTCCAATGTCATTTATTTACAAAATACATGCATAGTGTATACTTTACAAACAAATTGCCGTGAAACGCTATAGTGTTCGGGTTTGGCCTGAAGAAAAGGTGGCAACCCTAGACACAGCACATACAGGCCCCAAAACCCAGACTGACCACGGTACATTTATTTTGAATGACACACCAACCCACCTTCGCAGCGCAAAACACCCAATAGTTCACAAGCACTGCCTTTAAAAACAATGTCGCAGGTCCATCGACTTGCAATGAGCAGCAGAAATGTCTGAATGGGCCATTTATAAATAAATCAGTCTAACTACAAATAGATTTTGTTGTAACGTTTTCATTGCACTGAATGAGCAAGGTTCCTCAAGAGTCACAACTGATAGTTTCCTACTGATGATGACACCGATAATCCGACTATAAGCCGGCACATCCAAGGTGCAGCACAAAGCAGATATAACCAGGAGGACCGGCCTGCAGATGTTGCTCCATGAGATCATCGCTTTATATTAGCACTATGATCTCACTGACTTTAACAAAAAGCATTGAACGAGCAATCTCGGAAATACACCAGTTTGGCACTGATGGCAAATTGCTATGTCAGTCTGGCTGAAGGCCTGAAGAGGAGAGGTGCTGCAATGATCATCCAGCCAAATGATGCTAATAAAGGCAAATAACATGCCATGGCTTAGATCTTTTATGATTCTACGAGGTCATGCAATAATTGGAACATAAATGTGACTGATGGACATCTCCTGAAAACTTGAAACAAAAAAATCCAAAAGGGCGCAACACTGGGTGGGCTAACTGACCGGGTCGGGAGACCCAGGGGAAATGACAGGAGAATAGTGTAACAATGGGTGCACTGGGCGAAAAACCGGAGGATAGCTGGGGAAAAAGAATAAGCACTTACATTTCGTTTCACGGGACCAGAGGATGGACTGCCTGTGCAAAGGATCGGGTCATCCGTGGTATCTACCTGGAACTGGTGAGCCAGGGGATGTGCATCCACACGGGGAGGGGAGGCTGTGGGCGAGGAGGAAAAGGGGGGGAAAAGAAGGAACAACCACAGGAATGGGGACTCAGTCCGTGATCCGCTGTGTGAGTCCAGGGGCTGAGTGGTGTGGGAAAGAATCAGCGGTGTCAAAAGCAGGCAGAGCTGCTGTGACCGCGGCTGCGGCTCGTGCTGCTCGGTCACTGTCGGCGCAGGCTGGGGTAGTGTACGGGTGCCGTGGGCTGAGAGTTGTCAGTTATCAGTCGGGTCTGTGATAGGAAGAGGGTAGTGGCGGGGTGGAAAGGCAGTGAGCAACGCGTTTCGAGGAATGATACCTCTTTTTCAAGCTCGAGAAG